CCAGGATGGTCTCGATCTCCTGACCTCGTGATCCGCCCGTCTCGGCCTCCCAAAGTGCTGGGATTACAGGCGTGAGCCACCACGCCCGGCCAGGAGTTTTACTCTTGTTGCCTAGGCAGGAGTGCAATGGTGTGATCTCAGCTCACTGCAACCTCCACTTCCCGGGTTCAAGTGATTCTCCTGCCTCAGCCTTTCGAGTAGCTGGGATTACAGATACCTGCTACCACCCGGCTAATTTATGTATTTTTAGTAGAGACGGGGTTTCACCACGTTGGTCAGGCTGGTTTCGAACTCCTGACCTCAGGTGATCCACCACCTCGGCCTCCCAAAGTGCTGGGATTACAGGCATGAGCCACCACTCCCGGCCTCCAATTATACTCTTTAAATTATTTAAAAATGTACAATTAAGGCTGGGTGCAGTGGCTCATGCCTGTAATCCCAGCAGTTCGGGAGGCCAAGGCAGGTGGATCATTTGAGGTCAGGAGTTTGAGACCAGCCTGGCCAACATGGTGAAACCCCATATCTACTAAAAATACAAAATATAATCCAGGTTTGGTGGCAGGTGTGGGCAATCCCAGCTACTCGGGAGGCTGAGTTATGAGAATTGCTTGAACCTGGGGGGTGGAGGTTGCAGTGAGCCGACATTGCGCCTCTACACTCCATCCTGGGCAACAGAGTGAGATTACGTCTCAAAAAAAAAAAAAGTACAATTGTTATTTTGACTATAGTCACCCTATTGTGCTATCAAATAATAAGATTTTATTCATTCTGTCTATTTTTTTTGTATCTATTAACCATCTCCATTTCCCCCCCAATACCCCATGACCCTTCCCAGCCTCTGGTAACCATCCTTCTACTCTATATGTCCACGAGTTCAATAATTTTGATTTTTAGATCCCATAAATAAATGAGAACATGCAATGTTTGTCTTTCTGTGCATGGTTAGTGTCACTTAACATAGTGTCCTCCATTTCCATCCAGTTATTGTAAATGACTGGATCTCATTCTTTTTTATGGCTGAACAGTGCTCCATTGTGTATAAGTACCACCTTTAAAAAATCTATTCATCTGTTGATGGACGCTTAGGTTGCTTCCAAATCTTGGCAATTGTGAACAGAGTTGCAACAAACATGGGAATGCAGATATCTCTTGGACATACAGGTTTAATTTCCTTTGGATATATAACCAGTCTA